GAAACATGATGTTTAACGTATATCATTAACAAAGATTCCTTTAACTTTCACATGTATCATTTTTTCAATGTATATCGCGTCTCATCCTAGTATATGAAGTCCAGTTCGTCAAAAATCATACATAAGTCATTTTGAAAACTTTGATTTACAATCCTTGACAATTAATAACTCCAAGTCTGAAATTAAATTTCTTAACATATGACGTAAGACTTCGATATAGTTTGCTTAATTAACATGATCTATAGCAAAATATTAGTAATTTGGACTTAGGATACATTGTAAATTATTGCACCTGTGATTCATATGTTTTCTCTTAATCAGAATGAATAAGGTTATTTTTTAAGAAATAGCTATTGTTGCTTGGTCAAGTTTCTATTCAAACGTTTCTTGTTTTCTCTCTTTCAATCATTTTTTTTGGCGCGATAAAATTTTATTATATATGTGTGTTTGTATAAATTGTTCATCAAAATATAACGTATTTTTAATTTTAGTAAAAATGCATAAAAAATTACTTAGTAAGCTTTAATATTATATTTTTGCATGAAAAAAATTTATATGTGTGACTCAAAGAAAATTAGCCTATTGTTGCATAGATCCCTACAATGCAAAAGCAAAAACAAAAACATAAATGAATTATTGGTAAAAAAATAAATATTAAAAAAATTTAGAGATAGGAAATATAATTATATGTCACTTTTCATACATTATTTATTATTATGTACATTTATAAAACGTGAAAGTTTTGGCTACACAAGTGTATTTTGCCAAAATTTATCTATCGATCTATTGTATTTGTACAAACAAACATTGTGACATTTCACATGTATTTGAATTCTGGGATGTATTGTCGGAACATCTATTGTCAATAGCTAAACATATACATATAAAAAGTTTATTGTACTTTCAATCCTAATAAATACCATTAAACTCGGCTCGTTGGGTGGAATATGAAAACGACTTTTTTGGCTAAGGTAACTCGATGCAAATACAAATTCCTTACTCTTTCAAACTAAAATATTTTTATTTTGAGACTTTGATACCGGAAAAGATTTTGTTACAACAAAAATTTGGTATTGAATCATATGCTCACACACATATAACCAAATGACTTTCACAATTGTCTTACTCAATTCTTCCTTATTAAAGATTGTTCGTTTTAACCTAGTCATCGTATTAGACTCTTGTAACTATAAAGGTTTTAGGTTTACATATCTCAACTAACACAGTAATGTTTATTCATTGCCTCAATCGTCGAATTTAGTTTTATCTGTCGAGACATTCAAATATTGAATGAAAATTTTAGACCTTTATTTGATTAATGCAAAGGTCATTGGTTGATGAAACATGATGTTTAACGTATATCATTAACAAAGATTCCTTTAACTTTCACATGTATCATTTTTCAATGTATATCGCGTCTCATCCTAGTATATGAAGTCCAGTTCGTCAAAAATCATACATAAGTCATTTTGAAAACTTTGATTTACAATCCTTGACAATTAATAACTCCAAGTCTGAAATTAAATTTCTTAACATATGACGTAAGACTTCGATATAGTTTGCTTAATTAACATGATCTATAGCAAAATATTAGTAATTTGGACTTAGGATACATTGTAAATTATTGCACCTGTGATTCATATGTTTTCTCTTAATCAGAATGAATAAGGTTATTTTTTAAGAAATAGCTATTGTTGCTTGGTCAAGTTTCTATTCAAACGTTTCTTGTTTTCTCTCTTTCAATCATTTTTTTGGCGCGATAAAATTTTATTATATATGTGTGTTTGTATAAATTGTTCATCAAAATATAACGTATTTTTAATTTTAGTAAAAATGCATAAAAAATTACTTAGTAAGCTTTAATATTATATTTTTGCATGAAAAAAATTTATATGTGTGACTCAAAGAAATTAGCCTATTGTTGCATAGATCCCTACAATGCAAAAGCAAAAACAAAAACATAAATGAATTATTGGGTAAAAAAATAAATATTAAAAAAATTTAGAGATAGGAAATATAATATATGTCACTTTTCATACATTATTTATTATTATGTACATTTATATAGTTAAAAATTGGATAAAAGAAAATAAAATATTAAATGAAGAGATATAGCTCCATACATATATCACTAAATGTTTTTAATATTGTCCACCTTCGCAATTTGTGAAGTGCTTAGATGGAAGAAATTAGTTTTAATTGTCATAATTTATGTATAGATAGATATTAGATAGATAAGTAGTTTGAACAAATGTCATACTTTTTCATAATTTGATTTTATAATTAATCACTCATGACAAACAAATTATGTAAAATCATTATCTAACATTTACGTGAATTACAAATACATTACGTAAAATTTAGTTATTATATGTTAGTTAAATAAATAAATAAATTATTAAATGAGTGGATCAAGTCTGAAGTAATAAACTGTCTTACCAAATACAATGGTAGTTCCTTTTACCTTTTTTATTTTTATTTTTTTATCTAGAAGGTTGTTATACTTATATATTAGTAATTTGGATTTAGGATACATTATAAATTAGGATTTTGCTACGGTGACATGTCACCGTGACATGGACTTTTCGGTCGACCTAATACTCAAGGCGGTCGACCGAATTGACAAATTCAGTTATGTGAGGTTCAGAGAAGCGGTCGACCATCTTCATAAAATGATCGACCTCTTTGGTGGTATAAGTGTATAACAGAATGAAAGGTCGACCCAAATACCTCATAGGCCGACCCTTGTGCACCTATCAGGTTGACCTCATTAGTAAGAGGTCGACCGCATGCACACCGTATCCGTATTGGATAAGGATTCCAACAGCAGAAAGGTTCCACAATTTGACAAGAAAACGAATTGGGTCCACCCATTCACGTCCTAAATTTCTATAAATACGAAGAAAATGTGGATGAGGGAGAGAGGGGACATGAGTAGGAACTCGAAGATTTTAGATTGTGTGTTTTTATTGTTAAGTGGTCAAAACGATTGTTGATTGTTATTTTGTTGTTTTAGTTTTTTTTTATGTGTGAACAATTATGATTTCTGTTTTATTGTATTTATTGTTAGTTTGTTTAGTTGTTATGCTATGAATTGATGAGTCCTTGTTATCATTATTTATGACTATTTATGATGGTTTGAAACATAATTTATACGAGCAAAAGAACCACACAAATCGACATACATAAGCAAAAAAGACATGGGGCATAGGTTGACTTTCTTGTATTCGGTCGACCTCGTACCGGATTAGGTCGACCTCTAAACCAACACTTGATCTTCATTTTACGTCAAATGATTGGACACATTGATAGCACAATTATCTTCTATGTGGTCGACCTCTTTCCTTATCTGGTCGACCATTTTGTTAATGACTGCCTTCAAGTGGTCGACCTATATACCTTTACGGTCGACCATGCATGTTGTTTCTAACGCCAACGAAATGGCCGACCGAGGTTTTATTCTGGTCGACCAAAAATAACAACTTAAACTAAGTGCGGTCGACGAGGTGGTCTTTGAGGTCGACCGCAATGTTTTCTCGTGCTGCCCAAATTAGTCAATTCGGCCGACCACCTTCAGGATTAGGTCGACCGAAAAATCCATGTCACGGTGACATGCATGTCATAGTAGGCATACCCGTATATTGCTCATGTGATTCATATGTGTTCGCTTAATCATTTAAGAAATAGCTATTGTTGCTTGGTCAAGTTTCTATTCAAACGTTTCTTGTTTCCTCTCTTTACATCATTTTTTTGTCGCGATAAAATATTATTATATATGTGTGTTTGTATAAATTGTTCATCAAAATGTAACATATTTTTAAATTTTAGTAAAAATGAGTAAAAATGTAATATATATCACTTTTCATACATTATTTATCATTGTGTACATTGATATAATGAAAAAACAAAAAAAAATATTAAATGAAGAGATATAGATCCATAAATATATTAATAACTTTTTTTTAAAATATCCACCTTCGTAATTTGTGAAGTGCTTAGGTGAAAGAAATTAATTTTGAATTGTCATGATATTATGTATAGATAGATATACTTAGGTAGATAGATAGATAATTTGAACAAATATCATACTTTTCATAATTTGATTTTATAACTCATCACTCATAACAAAAAAAATTATGTAAAACTATTATCTAACAGTTACGTGAATTAAAAATACTTTACGTGAAATGATTTATATATTAGTTAAATAAATAATTAAATGAGTGGATCAAGTCTGAAGTAATAAACGGTCTTACCAAATACAATGGTAGTTCCTTTTACTTTTTTTTTTTTATCTAGGAGGTTATACCACCATACAATCAAATCCCTCTCGTTTTCTGATTGGGAAAGGGAACCCCATCCATTCTTATCTAGATGTATACTTTTTGATAATTTCATGTTTGTCTCTTGATTGAGAAAATCTTGACCACGCAGCAAAATCAAGGATTAGACGGCAACGGCTGCATGCATCTAAGCTAACCAACGGCACGACGACACGCGCGTTTCGTCTTTTCCACCGTATCCAAATCAAAATCTCCACTTCTGGGCTTGACGTCATGAATCACAAATGAGCCCTTCCACACGAATACAAAACCTGTCTCTGTTGCCGTCGCGGGGATCACCAAATGGTTACTTCACAATCTTGGTAGCTCGAAAAGACATCAATGAGAAAATAAATCACTGTTGTCGGCTTCTTGATCACCAGCAGGTAAAGCTCAAATGTACGTAATCGTTTTGGCTAATTACCCATCCATCATCGGAAAAGTGAGATGAAAACAATCAGAATGGTGTCCGCAAATGTGACTGTCAGACTGTCAGCTCCATAGCCTAGCCAGTCGACCATATAACGAAGATTCTTACTTCTGTGCTACTTTATTGACAGGTCATTTTCTCCTTTGCTTACTTTATTGTCAAGATCTCAAATCATATTGCTAATGCTAGCTAGTTGCCGTAGCCTAATTGAACTTGCAAAACAGCTACCAAATAAACAAACAACCCCCCCCCTGCATTTTCAAACCTAGTAAAAATAAAGTTGATAAACAGAATAAGCAATTTGGTTTGGTAGAAATGAAGAAATTGAACTCTCTCTGCCATCTCCTGGTGATACTCCATCCATTCTGGTTATCACTTGCAGCAGCAGCCGAATCAACCATCAACTATCTCCCTGGTTTTGACGGCCCTCTACCGTTTGACTTGGAAACAGGGTAATTGAGGAAACGAACTAAACTCTTCTCATGATCCAGAAAAAAAAATCAGTACTTTGGTTTTAAATTAAAGTTGCTAGCTACTCTTTGTCAGGTATATTGGGGTGGGAGAAGCAGAGGAAGTGCAGCTGTTCTACTACTTTGTGAAGTCGGAGAGGAATCCTGAGGAAGACCCTCTGCTCCTCTGGCTCACCGGCGGCCCTGGCTGCTCTTCCTTTTCAGGCCTCGCCTATGAAGTCGGTCCCTTTCGCTTTCAACAAGCGGAATACAACGGAACCTTGCCGACTTTGGTCTACAATCCCAACTCCTGGACAAAGGTTGCCAGCATGATATTTATAGACTCGCCAGTTGGGACTGGATTCTCTTACGTGACAACCAACTCGTCCGCAATTCGACCGGGTGACATTGTCCAAGTTTCCCACGCTCAAGAGTTCCTCAGAAGAGTTAGTATCTTTGCCTCTTTTATGTTCCTGGAATCCTGAGGAAGAGCCTCTTCTCCTCTGGCTCACCGTCGGCCCTGGCTGCTCCGCCGTTTCGGGCCTCGCCTATGAAGTCGGTCCCTTTCGCTTTCAACAAGCGGAATACAACGGAACCTTGCCGACAGTGGCGGATTCAGAAAATTTTCACAGGGGTGTCCTCTTCAAAAATTAAATTTAATTAAATAATTCATATATTAAAAATATCATACGTGTATAAATTTTTTTATTAAAATTCATGATGTGTTTTCATATTTTGAAAAAATAATATAAAATAAACTCCGTGTCTGCACTGTTCAAAAAAAATCTACATATCCTACTAGACAATACTTCACGAACTTATCACATATTCGATTCCTAAACTTGTTCTTAATGTAGCTCAAAGTAGAAAAGACTCTATCAACACTTGCCGTGTAACCATAAAATCAATTCAAAATTAAGAGTAGCGTGTACGTAAATTAATTATTAGGTATTGAAAATAGTTGGGGATAAAGAAATAGCGTTTTACTGTTGCATGATGTTTAAAATAGAATAAAAAATGAGTAGCAACATAATTAGAATATGTTTGATAATAGTAGTGTCCTATGTTGGAATAACACGGACTACCACTTATATTTTGTTAATCATAAGCAAACTATTATCGAGGGTAGGATAATCATTTTTTCAAATGTTAGGGTGTCCCGAATCACCAATTATATTTTGTATACCCATACGAAATTATTACCGAAGGTTGGATAATCGTTTTCCCAAATTTTAGGGGTGTCCCGGGACACCCCTAGAGGTCCATGTATCCGCCCCTGCTTGCCGACTTTGGTCTACAATCCCAACTCCTGGACAAAGGTTGCCAGCATGATATTTATAGACTCGCCAGTTGGGACTGGATTCTCTTACGTGACAACCAACTCGTCCGCAATTCTACCGGGTGACATTGTCCAAGTTTCCCACGCTCAAGAGTTCCTCAGAAGAGTTAGTATCTTTGCCTCTTTTATGTTCCTGGAATCCTGAGGAAGAGCCTCTTCTCCTCTGGCTCACCGGCGGCCCTGGCTGCTCCGCCGTTTCGGGCCTCGCCTTCGAAATCGGTCCCCTTCGCTTTCAAGTAGCGGAATACAACGAAAGCTTGCCAACTTTGGTCTACAATCCAGACTCCTGGACAAAGGTTGCCAGCATTATATTTGTAGACTCGCCAGTTGGGACTGGATTCTCTTACGCGACAACCAACTCGACTGCAATTCGACCGAGTGATCTTGTCCAAGTTTCTCATGCTGAAGAATTCGTGAGAAAAGTTGGTATCTTTTCATCTTTTATGTACCTGAAAACAGAAAATAGTGACAAAAATGCTGATTATGTTGGTATCTTTTCATCTTTTATGTACCTGAAACGAGAGAATAGAAGCCACCAACTTGAAATGCCTCAGCAACTTAAAGGCTTTTCGTGAAGTATATATATATATATATATCCTCTCCTTGATTTCAATATGGTTCGAAATCATGTGCAGTTTGTTGTGTAGTAAAATAAAATGTTCAATCCTATGTGTGTAGTGTTTGTCAGGAATCCAACCAGGAAGTATATTGGACCCAATATGTGGCTTTGCTTCCAGAAAGCCAATGGAGATTGCAGCCAGAAGAAAAATCATTCAGGATAAAGCTCAAATGTCTCTAGGCATTGATCCACCTGATTTTAGTTACAGTGTAATCATGAACTACTACATTATTAATACTTAGGAATCTTGACCTCATTCCATAAAATGCCCTATTTATTTTACTATGCTTTTCATGTTTTAGCCACAATTTTACTCATACGTGCTTTGCAAATACTGGCTCGATGATGTACATGTCCGCAAAGCGCTTCACATACGAGAGGTAAAGACAGTGTTAGCAGCAAAAAAAATTTGTGGGATTTACATATTTATATCGAAAGCCTAAAATGTTTGTGGTGATGGCGCTGGCAGAGGACAATAGATGGATGGATCAGATGTAATTATGGGTTGGGTTATGTAAGTGATATTGTTAGAAACAAAGTTTCTAACGGGTTATTGATTGGATGATGTTTGAGAATTTAGGGATTTGGGAAGGTAGAATTAGGGATTTGGAGAAGAATTGAGGAAGAACAGAATTGGGAATTAGGGATTTAGAAGAGGAAATTGGGGATCGAGGAGAAGAATGGCCGTCGGCCTAGGGATAGATGACGAAATTGAGAGAGATTAGGGTTTGAGATACTGTTCTGAATAATTGATCTTGCTTGATTATGAATAAAACGCAAAGTACACATTTATAACGAAAGATAAGAAAACCTAATACTAAACCTAATTCTACTAAAAGACTACTAACCATATTTAATAAAACCTAATAATAATGATAATATAGAAACTCGTTTTCCTTAGAAAACGTGTTTCTAACATCCCATCCCCCTTGAGACCAACCTTGCCCTCAAGGTTACCGACTCGACCCATTTCTTCATCCTATCTCCCGTGTAGATCGCGCATTGTCTCATCCACTTCTTGCGCTTCCTTTTTTTTCCAATCATGCTCCACTACTCAACTTGGTCTTCTTGCATCAGTCTTCCCGTGACGACCCAACTCTTCGAGCTTCACTTTCATGGGCCCACTTTTCGCTTCCTTCTTGAACAATGATCCGTCCTCGAGTATCAACCCATCACAGACTTCGACCTCCATATCGTTGGCCCATGCAGGTCCGACCTTGTTCAGAGTTTGAAAATAAGGACTAGAGTTAATCTTCTTTGAAGTTAGCCAATCTAATCCTTTAGTTGACTCTCCAATTGCTCCAGGCCCATTCTTCCTTGAGAACTCATTTACTAGGCCCACAGATTCATCTTCATTGTCTTTGAAGCCCACACCATATAAAAGAGCTCTGATCAAAGGACTCCTTTGATGCCCAAGTCCTCCAATCAGCCCATAGGTTGAAAACCCATCATACTCGTTCATTCTCGGCCCATCACTAATTTCATGTTTAGCCCACTTTACTTCAAGCTTCAGCCCAATTGGCTGGTTTCCACTCCGCCCGCGATCGAGGCCCACGCTAGTCGGCCCAATTGAACGCGTTGCTTCCCGCGATTCCGATCCGTCCAAGAGGAGCCTGCTAGCATTCCTCTCCTCTTCTCCATCCGCAACACCTGGCCCACCCGGATGGGAGGCCCGATCCGCAACACGGCCCGAACAATCGGCGAAGCCCAGGGTTAGCATCCTAGGGTAGGCGAGAGGATTGAACCCGCCGCCCTCCTTCACCTTCTCAATCGCCGGCTGGTCCTTCTCCGGCAGCGAGCAGCGCACCAGGTAACGAGAAGTCGACCCCGGCTTCACACGACTCGGCTCTGACGGATTTCCCCTCACCTCTGCCTCCGTCGACGAGTCTTCCGCCAGATCCTCGTTCTCCGTCAAGGTCTTCCTCATCCGACGCCGACGAGGCGATCCCCGATCCGCCGTCGCCTTCAGCTCCCCCATCCAGTCCTTCGTCTCCCGCGACGAACTTCTCATCGGCTCCGTCGTCCCGTGCACGCCTAGAGTTGTCGTGCAACCCTCAAGCATCGCTTCAGATCTCCTGGTCTTCTTTCGCGGTGCTGAATAGGCAAGCAGACGACAAAGGGGCCGACCCGCTTCTTCTGCCTTGCGTCCATCGGTGCGAGCGTGGATCTCCGCCCACTTCGAACGGATTCTCGAGTCCCTAGGGTTCTGAACCTCAACTGTTGATGGGGTCAGTGTTGCTTTGTCGTACCTGGAGACTTTCCCGGCGCATCGCTCGTCGATTGCGAAGAGTGGGAGCTTGACGAATGTCGCCATCTCTAGGTTTGCGACAGGTGACTTTGAGAACGACGATGTGGACAAGGCAATGGTGTTGTGTACCCCCTCGTCCACCTGTTCTTCGTCGGCTCCTGGCTTCTTCCTAAACCGCCAGCTCGCTACATGACGCGGCGTCGGTCTCCTCTCCAAACCCTCGGTTTGGGTTTCTTCTTCCAAGGCGTTGGTCTTCTCACTGTCGGGAACAAGGATGTAAGAAGCAGAATCACCTTCTTCTTCACTCACGACCGCGAAAGTACCATCGGCAGCCTTGGTGACCGATGCTGTCGGAGGCTGCTGCTGTTTGTTGGTGACGTTTGGAAGCTCTTCCGTGGCTGGCGGCTCGATTGCCAAAACCTCTTCCACGTCCGGTTGCTCTGCTCGCCTCTCAACTTCACCATCTGAGTCAACCTGCACAATCGACAGTTGCTCTTCTTCTGTGGCGGCATTCCCTGTCGGCAGCTCCTCGGAGCTCCAACGACGGCCGATGCGCCGAGCCCGTTCACGCAGCTCTGCCCACGACAGGTTCGAGAGCTTTGAAGAACTCATCGTAGAACAAGTTGTAGAACTCGCCCCTGGTTGAGAGTTGTGGTGAACTCAATTCTCGAAACCGGGCTCGGATACCAAATGTTAGAAACAAAGTTTCTAACGGGTTATTGATTGGATGATGTTTGAGAATTTAGGGATTTGGGAAGGTAGAATTAGGGATTTGGAGAAGAATTGGGGAAGAACATAATTGGGAATTAGGGATTTAGAAGAGGAAATTGGGGATCGAGGAGAAGAATGGCCGTCGGCCTAGGGATAGATGACGAAATTGAGAGAGATTAGGGTTTGAGATACTGTTCTGAATAATTGATCTTGCTTGATTATGAATAAAACGCAAAGTACATATTTATAACGAAAGATAAGAAAACCTAATTCTAAACCTAATTCTACTAAAAGACTACTAACCATATTTAATAAAACCTAATAATAATGATAATATAGAAACTCGTTTTCCTTAGAAAACGTGTTTCTAACAGATATTCCAAGCAGTTTTAAGTACCATGTCTATCTTTCAACCAAGAGATACTGTTCATTGATCTACATGTGATCCTTTCCTTTGCATTTGCATTTCTCTCCTCTTATATGTCTTTCATTTTCCATTATGGCACTTGGATAGTTATCGAGCTCTGATGAATTTGTATGTGTAAGCCTTGACATAGTGGAGACCATGATAGCGTGGTGCCATTTCTGGGGACACAGACTTGGATTCGAGATTTGAACTATTCCATTGTAAAAGATTGGCGATCCTGGCATGTCGAAGGCCAAGTTGCTGGGTAAGTAAGAATATAGCTAACATATGTTTCTCATTTTATGGGGTAGGATGATTTAGCTATCATATTTCTCATTTTCATACGTATGAGGACATAATCTAAATGGAATGACATATGCAACGGTTAAGGTAAGGGTTTGATGAGCATCATTACTAGTTCTAGCTAGTTGGATGTTCAATCTATTTGCGGAAGATGAATGAAATAGCCATCTTTTTGCAGGGCGGAATGCATACAGCTCCAGAGAATAGACCAAATGAATGTTGTGCTATGTTCGTTAGATGGATAAATCACGGGCGTCTGTAATTTATCGAACAAACATAGTGTTGAATACAAATGTTATCTCGGTTTACTACCACCTTAACTTGATCGTTAGTAGTGAAAGTTGATTTTCCGTACTTCTCTTAAGTTTGGTTTCTTTTTACTGATAAACCTTTCAACCCTATTTAATAAATAGCTTGAGATATTTAGTGCACTACTTAATAAATAGCTACTATACAGTTTATGTTTTTTTGGATCAGTTATACTATAACAACAATAATCAATATGGTGGACTAAATTGACACTTTTTCAAACTTGGCAACTTTTTTTTAGTGGCGGAGGCGCTTGTCCTGCGGGAAGCTCTCTTCTGGTGTGTGACCAATGGATTCCAGGAAGTACGTTTTGAAGGCGATGCCAAGATCATCATCGATAAGATCAATCAAGCGGAGACTAGAGATAGTAGGATTGGGATGCTTCTTGACAAAATCAGGCAATGTATGGGAAATCAGCCGGGGTTTAGTTTGCGGTTTGTAGGACGGAGGAACAATAGGGTAGCCCATGCGGTGGCTAGGAAGGCCCTTTCTTTGTACCCATCTATGTGTCGCTCTTTTAATTTCCAGACCTGGCTGTTCTCCAGGATGTAACCGTGTCTATCTTCGATCAATATATGATTATCTTTTGTAAAAAAAAAAAGATCATACTACAACTATTAACCTCACCACACATTCGCTCTTATTATTACTACCATTCACCGGCTGAAGATAGGGTGCATAACCATTTAAATCTGGACCCCCATTATCAAAAAAATATTTAAATCTGGACCCTTCATTTAGAAAATCCAGATCTAAGGATGGAGAATTAAAAATCATTTTAATTTTCTCTAGCTTTCTTAATCGACTCATATCTTTTTCGTTTTAACTCAGATTTTTTTTTTTTGCACAGATGGAACGAGTTCATCGTGCTCTACAAAATGAGATCAATTTTCAATATTTTTTGAAAAAAAAAATTATTGCCTCTTGGTACCAACTGCATATCATATGGTATTTTCTTCGTTTTTAATTCGTTTTTTAA